TTTTGAAAATATGTTGAATACAGTAGTCATGAAATTAAGAAAAATTGGTTGAATGTTTCGATTAAACTTCATTTTAATACTAAAAAAATAATTTTTTCTATACATACAGCATTAAAGTAATTAGTCTTAAGTTTAATTTGCACAAAGAAAGAAGTTTATATGTGAAAAATTGTTCGAGTAATTACAAATTTACAAAAAAATTGGATTTCGGGTAGCCCCGCTCACATGAATGTGGGGTATCAACGACCAATTTTATTTCGTCGATAAATGTACGGTTGCAGAGATTATTATTTTATTGCTTCAAATTTGAATGTGATATGCATTTTTAACAACAAATATTGTTGTTTTTAATTATTGTTATTAAATGATAGAATTCACTAAAAGTATATAAATATGTAATAAATAAAATAATTTTGTGATAAAAATGATAAACGAGGTTTACCTATTGTTAATACATAAGTCATTTTCATTTACGCCTGAAAAAACAGTAAAAAAAACATAATTTTTGTAACTAGGCGGGGCTACCCGACACATTTTGAAAAGAGCTGAAAAACATGTTTTTTTAAATTTCTATTTTAAGTTAAACTATTCTTTTTTTGGTTTATTCTTTTTGCATTATTTAATTAGATGATAAAACAATAGAAGCATACAAAAATATTGATTAATACTCAATACTATATAGAAATATAAGCAATACTCCTTAAGTGAGCGGGGCTACCCGACTCTCCCCTACTTGAAATCAAGATAATAAAAACGATTACAGAGTAATCAGAATAAAGGTAGGTCGCATGAAAATGTACGACATTGGTAATTTATAATTAGAGGTTGAAAAACAATGGTATTAATTTGTTGAAAAATGTTCTGTTTATTGATTATTTATTGCTTATTTTAAAAGACTTATTTCGCACATGCGTTATTAAGACAGAAATATAGTGTCATACTTTAGAAAATGGATTTATGACATATTTTTATGGCAATTTCTATTTGACAATTGTAGAAATTTGCGTATTCAATTTGAAACACTCTTTAATGACTCTCTTTAAAATCTCTTAATATTTTCTCACATAACATTTTATACCAGTATATTTTTTCGACAAAGCTGCATGTTGCCGAAAGCAACTTGAACAAATGTGGAGCCTCAGAAGCGGTGAGTTTGTTCAGTTGAATAACAATGTGGAACCCCAAAATGTTGAGGTTCTGTTGGCGGAGCAACTAGTCTCCGCAGGTGGCTAATTATATATACATTAAATGTGTGTTAGACTGCAATATATAAATAAAATAACACTTACCCCTAGTGGAAGATCAACAACACCAGATCCTTCTTCAACGTAGCCCTAAAAATAAATATGACCAATTAACAAAAAAAATTATCATGCTTTTCATGTTTTGTGATATCGAATAAACCATCCATAGAAGAAGGTACATGGAAGGAGAAAATAGTTTTAAATTAAAATTATTATAAGCTTAAAATTGATGACAGATTCGTGCCTTCTCATCTAACAGATGAATCACATGACAAGATCCAGTTATACTAAAATCTTAAGGTTGCCCTAAACATTAAATATGAAGGTATAAATCTGTAAAATATTACAATATTTATTTACCATCATTCCTTTAGTATTTTTGAAGTTATACTTCTTATGCGACTTCCGACAAGGTTGCGTTAAACGTTTAACGCTACATTTTTATTGGCCGGGAAATCACGTGGTAGGATCCAGTTTTCCCTCATTCATTTCCATATTGTTTGGGTTCTCACTAGCATAAAAATAATAAAAGTATTGTTTTTCTATAAATATTTTTTTAGTTTGTTTTGATACACATATAATTTAATAGGGTAGTATTTTTTATTTTCAAATTTAGTGGATAACAATT